TGGTGGCTTTACCTGCTGCACCACAGCGCCAGCCCCATGAGTCCTTTTCTTTAGGGTACCAACCATGAGCCTCCTCTTCTGCTTTCCAGACCCAAATTTCATGGTGCATGTTCCTCTACATCCATCTGTAATCTTTCTGCCATCACCCTGGTAGAATCAGTTTCTCTTGGGTAGATTCCCAAAAGCATTTCATACGTATCTCGGATGATATTTATTATAGATAAACTATTTTTATTTCTTTCCTACTAAGCCCAGAAATGCCCTGCGGGTAGGCACTGTCTTTTTCATGTTTGTATCCTAACACCTACATTTGTATCTCGTCTAAACAGGAGCTTAATATGCTTTTGTTGAATGGAATTAGTTTTTTTATGACTCATTTAAAATTAGAGACCAATGCTTATTTAATAAGTCAGAATAAGCTATAATAATAATTGTAATAACAAAGTCCTGTTTCTGCTGCTTACTCAAGTAACTGCTTCCTTTGTGGAAGTGGATTTTAAAATTATCTTCACATGTCAATGTATATTTTTGATGTGCTTACTTGAGATTCTAAAAGAATTATAATTCTGATGAACACTAGAGTTTCTATGATGTTCCTGTTGATGTGAAATATAGAACGTATTTTGTCATTTCAGAGATACAAAGACTGTACTTTCAGGGATCATTTCTATAGTTCGCTACTCAGATATAGTATATATATGTTTTGTGGATACTCATTTTATCTCTTTTTCTCTTAATCTTCATGGTAATAGTTTCTGAATTATTTATTTTATGAAATCTGAGCCAATTTAATTCAAAAGACATTAAATCAAGCATTTTCCATGAGCAAAATCTGTTGCAAAGTTAAAACTTGTATTTACATATCATTTGTTTTGCTAAATTTGCAAAAGTCTTGCTCACTGCAAGTGTGTGTTTTTTTTTGTTTTTTTTGTTTTTTTTTTTTTTTGTTTTGTTTTTTTTTTGGACAGGCAGAGTGGACAGTGAGAGAGAGAGAGAAAGGTCTTCCTATTGCCATTGGTTCACCCTCCAATGGCCACCGCGGCTGGTGCGCTGTGGCCAGCGCACTGCGCTGATCCGATGGCAGGAGCCAGGTACTTATCCTGGTCTCCCATGGGGTGCAGGGCCCAAGTACTCAGGCCATCCTCCACTGCACTCCCTGGCCACAGCAAAGAGCTGGCCTGGAAGAGGGGCAACGGGGACAGAATCCAGCGCCCTGGCCGGGACTAGAACCCAGTGTGCCGGCGCCACAAGGCGGAGGATTAGCCTAGTGAGCCACAGCGCCGGCCTGCAAGTGTGTTTTTATGTATTTAAATTTTTTTTACTATGTAAGTCAGTACTGCTCCATAAATTAAGACCTTCAAGTAACTTTGAAGATAGTCTTCTTTCCCTCATGTTCTTTTTAAAGCAGTATAGGAAAGGAGACAATTTACTTATTCATAACCTTCACTGAATACATGTTACGTGGTTGACATAATGCTGGATGTGTGAGTTCAAGTTGAATGAGACAGTAGTTGCACTTGAATAATACTCATTCTAGGGGAGAAGGTATTTCAACCAATAACTGCAATGTAAACTTGCAGAAGAGGAAGGAAGACTCCTTTGAGAACTAAGGCGGAGGTTGAAAATAGATGTGTCTGCTGATCAGTTTATAGAAAAGCAGAGCACTGAAGGAAGTTCATGCCTAATAAGCTTTTTTAAAATATGCATGCGAAGTTGATATCTAAATCATTTCTAGAATTAGTGGCATGGAGTAGCTCTTGAGAACAGTGGAGATCTGGATGATTAGTCAGGAAAATTAGAGATGAGCTAATAAAGATCAGCAAAGGGAGCAAACAATATTGAGAAACCAGTGTAAGTAGAACTGAAATAGGATGGCATGGAACTGTGGGCCTATCCATCAGCACAGTGGTGGGAGCTTCCTGTGGCCAGTGTTCAGGACTGATGAGATAGGTGTAACAAAAGTATAAGATAGCATTAAGAGTCCCTCAAGGAAAGTATAGCTTAATGTGGAAGCAAGTATGATTAAGAGGAAGTTGGAAAAAGTGGGAGCAAGTGAGGAAGTCGGGAAACTGGAGATGAAGACTTTGTAGGTACTCAGCAAATCTTCATTTTCTCCTTTCTCTATGCCTGTTTCACCACCACCATCTGCCTCTGCTGTGGCTTGTATACAAGTGAGCAGTTTCAAATCATGATGCTAGCAGTCGACTCAGAAAGGAAGATTAGGAGCCACATTCCAAAGTTCTTGTCCTGTGTGTCCTCAAGTTGTTGGTACTGACAGCAGTGATATTGGCCTCTAGGAGACGGTCAAGGCTTATCCCCTTAATTTCTGACCACTCATGCTTAAAGGATGTGTCTAGGGCTCAAGTCATTTCACTGGACCATGGTTCTTGGTTAAGATTCTAGGGCTGCAGTGGTTTCCCCCGAGTTCACCTTCTCTGTACAAGTTTAACCATAAGCAAAGATTTCATTACATTGAAGGATTTAAAAGGAAGTCTTTTTTTGTTTTGTTTTGTTTTAAGATTATTTTATTTATTTGAAAGGCAGAATTACAGAGAGGCAGAGGCAGACAGAGAGAGAGATCTTCCATCCGCTGGTTTACTTCCTAAATGGCCGCAGTGGCCCAAACTGAGCTGATCCAAAGCCAGGAACCAGGAGCTTCTTCCAGGTCTCCCATGCAGGTGCAGGGGCCCAAGCACTTTATCCTTCTTCCGCTGCTTTCCCAAGTCATCAGCAGGGAGCTGGATTGGAAGTGGAGCAGCCAGGACTCGAACAGGCACCCATATGGGATGTGCCACAGTACCGGCCCCGGAAGTTCTTTTCTTGACATAGAGATAGAAGTAAGGACCATGCTGGCAACCCAAATGGCTTTCCTCCTCAGAATGTAAAGTTCTATTTGAGTTGGTTGTATCTTGTGATTTATTTTTACAGGAATTATCAAATACATTGTGTTTTTTTTTTTTCCTAAAGATACACTTTGGGGGCCAGCGCTGTAGTGTAGCACGTAAAGCCACCGCCTGCAGTGCCAGCATTCGATATGGGAGCCGGTTCGAGTCCCGGCTGCTCCACTTCCAATCCAGCTCCCTACTATGGCCTGGGAAAGCAGTAGAGGATGGCCCAAGTCCTTGGGCCCCTGCACCCATCAGGGAGACCCAGAAGAAGCTCCTGGCTCCTGGCTTTGGATCAGTGAGGCCCTGGCCATTATAGCAAATTGGGGAGTGAACCAGCAGATGGAAGACCTCTCTCTCTCTCTCTCTCTCTCTCTCTCTCTCTCTCTCTGCCTCTCCTCTCTCTGTGTAACTCTGACTTTGAAATAAATAAATAAATCTTTTTTTTTTAAAGATACACTTTGGATGGTTTTCATTTCAAATAAAGACAAACCATTTTCCATGGAAACACATGATATACATTTTTAAAGTTTTTCTTTCCATTTTATTTGAAAGACAGAGACAGAGAGTGATCTTTCATCTTCTGGTTCGTTTCCCAAATGCCTGCCACAATCAAACCAGGGGAGGCTAAAACCAGGACTCAGAACTCAATCTGGGGCTGGCACTGTGACACAGTGGGACATCTGTGATGTCACCATCTCATTATGGGCACCAGTTAGCTCCTGGCTGCTCCACTTCCAATCCAGCTCCTTGCTAATGCACCTGAGAAAGCAGTGGAAGATGGCCCAAGTCCTTGCACCTATGTGGGAGACCTGGATGAAGCTCCTGGCTTTGGCCTGGGCCATCCCTGGTCATTGAGGCCATTTGGGGAATGAAAGAAGATAGAAGACCTCTCTCTGTGTCTCTACCTTTCTCTGTAACTCCATCTTTCAAGTAAATAAATAAATCTCAAAAAAAAAAAAAAAAAAAAAGCCTCATTCCAGGTCTCCCACATGGGTAGTAGGGCCACTGCTGTCCCAGGTGTGCCTTAGCAGGATGGATCAGAAACAGAATAGCTAGCAGTCAAACCAGGCACTCCAATATGGGATGCAGGTGTCCCAAGAGCAACTTAACTGCTGTGCCAAACACCTGCCCAGAAACACATTGTTCATACTGCATCACTAAAGGTTTTTTTAACCCAGAGTTTTGAGTGTAACACTGCAGTCTAATAATCCATTATTCCACGGAGTGCTTCTTTGGATATAGTATTTAAAAATCAGAAATGAAAAAAAAAAAAAAAAAGGGCCGGCGCCGTGGCTCAATAGGCTAATCCTCCACCTTGCGGCGCCGGCACACCGGGTTCTAGTCCCGGTCGGGGCGCCGGATTCTGTCCCGGTTGCCCCTCTTCCAGGCCAGCCCTCTGCTGTGGCCAGGGAGTGCAGTGGAGGATGGCCCAGGTGCTTGGGCCCTGCACCCCATGGGAGACCAGGAAAAGCACCTGGCTCCTGGCTCCTGCTATCGGATCAGCACGGTGCGCCGGCTGCAGCGGCGGCCATTGGAGGGTGTACCAACGGCAAAGGAAGACCTTTGTCTCTCTCTCTCACTGTCCACTCTGCCTGTCAAAAAAAAAAAAAAAAAAAATCAGAAATGAGCCCTACATCTTAACGTGAAACTGCTAGAAAGGTGAAAATGAGAAGAAATGGAGCAAATGCCAGTGAAGAGTTGGCTAAAGAAATCCTGGGGAACCTGATTATTAGTCTTGCTGTTTTAGATTGCTAACTAGTAATGCTAATGCAACGAATACTACTCCCAAAACTTTTTCACCTGGGTCGCCCCAAAGAAGCATGTGCTTCACTTGGCATTAGTCACATGAAGCAGGACATTGAAGTTTATCCACATGGTGTGTGACATCCATCTGGATCCTTTGGATTCGTCTATACCCGTTCAATATAGACATGTTTGCCCTGTTTTCCAGTGCTTGAAAGTAGAGCTTTGTTTGTCATGGCATGTCAGTGTTAATATATGTAGATGGCATGTAGTAATGACTGCTTTTCCTAAAGTATATATAAAGAAGAAAGCTTTTCTTTACATGTCTTCCTTGGCTTTTAGCTCATGTAAGACTGTTTGCTTTTCCAGGTTGTAAGCATGTTAAAGGCATCCTGTTATATGGACCCCCAGGCTGTGGTAAGACCCTCTTGGCTCGACAGATTGGCAAGATGTTGAATGCAAGAGAGCCCAAAGTGGTCAACGGGCCAGAAATTCTTAACAAGTATGTGGGAGAGTCGGAGGCAAATATTCGTAAACTCTTTGCCGATGCTGAAGAGGAACAAAGGAGGGTAATGTGAATATTTTTTATTTTTTTATTTTTTGGGGGGGTAATGTGAATATAAGTATAATTTAGTAAAAGTTTTTATTACTTGTTTGATAAATGAAACATGAATTATTAGAGACAAACCTGTTATGGGGATCAATATTTTGAAACAACTTGCAGGTAAAATTTACTTAGTACATAGTTTATGTATGGTTCTGAACCAGGGCTTATGTAGATTTGTATGAAGTAAGCTGTTGTCATTATCCACGTATTCATAATACAGAGGTAGATGATCGTATAAGCCAAAATTTTTCAAAAACGGATCATGAAAATATTTGCAAGTGATGCTTTTGTTCCACATTACTTTCAGAGACTTGAACTCGTTTATCCTTAGAAACGGGAGAAATTAAATCCACAAATGGATTTATAGACTTATGTTTACGTGAGGTTCTCGTGCAGAAAGCTAACTTAGCAGTGTCAGCTCCACTTTAGAGTGGTAGGATTGAGTTGTCAGTGCTCCAAGGAAAGCTTTATTTGGGTCTCAAAAAATTATTTAAAAATCAAACCAGAATTTACTAATTGTGTTAGTTAATTTTGTGTGTAAATTTGACTGGGCCATATGGTGCCCAGACATTTGGTCGACCATTATTCTGGGTGTGTCTGTGAGGATATTTCTGGATAAAATTAACTTTTGAATTAGTATATGGAGGAAAGCAGATTGTCCCTGATGAAACCTCATCCAGTCGCCTTAGAGTCAGCAGACATCTCCTCAACAGAAATCATGGAAACAAGAAGTCCATTGAATACCAAATTTAATGTGCTGAAGGGAAATAGCTGCCACCTTAGAATTTGGTAAAGGGATCAATTGTCATATAAATATACAGTGGAATAGTAGTCAGCAATGAAAATAAAGACTGTAGATCAGGGTAGGGAAACTTTTCTGCCAAGGGCCCTTGGAATATTCATAACATCATTTGTGGGCCATACAGAATTATCAGCTTAAAAATTAGCCTGTGGTTGCCCTGGCAGGGCCAGACCAAATGATTTCACAGGCCTTATACTGCCCATAGGCTGGGCATTCCCCACCCTTGCTTATGTAATTGTGAATCTCACAAATAAATGTTAGCCAAGAAACCAGGTAAAAAAGGATACATACCGGATGATATTATTTTATATAAAGCTCAACTCAAGTATAGTATTTAATGGTGCATTCTTAGATGATAAAACTGTGAAGTCAAATAAGAAATAATTACCATAAAAACCAGTGGTGGGTCTGGCGCTGTAGCACAGTGGGTTAATGCCCTGGCGTCGGCATCCCACATGGGCACTGGTTCGAGTCCCAGCTGCTCCTCTTCCAATCTAACTCTCTGCTATGGCCTAGGAAAGCAGTAGAAGATGGCCCAAATCCTTGGGCTCCTGAACCCATGTGGGAGACCTGGAAGAAGCTCCTGTCTCCTGGCTTCAGATCGGCTCAGCTCTGGCCTTGTGGCCATCTGGGGAGTGAACCAATGGATGAAAGACCTCTCTCTCTATCTCTATCTCTCTCTGTAACTGTCTTTCAAATAAATAAATAAATAAATAAAACACAGTGGTTCCCTGTAGGGAAAGATTGAGACAGACTACTCAGGAAGGGTTGTGAGGAATTGCTTCTGGAATGCTGGCAATGTTGTTTGTTTGTTTGTTTAATTTGTTTTATCTATTTGAAAGGCAGAGAGAGATCTTCCATCCAGTAATTCACTCCCAAAATGGCCAGAATGCCTGGCCCGAAACAAAAAGCTCAGAATTCCATCCAGGTCTCTCATGTGGTTGGCAGGGGCCCAAGCACCTGTGCCATCTTTTGCTGTTTTCCCAGGCGCATAGCAGGAAGCTGGATAGGAAGCAGAGCAGCCAGGACTCAAACCCCTGCTCCAGTACGGGCTGCCAGCGTTGCAAGTAGCAGCTTAGCTTGCTGCACCACAGTGCTGCCCCCTGTTCTTTGTCTTTATGGTTAAATAGTCATTTGGTGACACTTTGTCGAAGCATGCACTCAGATTTTGTGGAATTTTCTGTTCTACTTATTTTACAATTTAAAAAGTTTTGAAAGTAAGTTTAAATAAATATTCACCATATGAGTATAAAACACACAGTAAGGGGCAGGCATTTGGCCTACTGAATAAGTCACCAGTTGGGATACCTGCCTCCCATATCGGAGTGCCTGAGTTGAGTCCTGGCCCCGCTCCTAATTCCAGTTCCCTGCTAGTGCGTGGCAGGGGAGACAGCAGGTGACAGCTCAAGTAGTAGGTCTCTGCTAATCATGTGGGAGACGTGGGTTGAATCCTTTGCCCAACCCTGGCCATTGTGGGCATTTGGAAAATGGATGAGCAAATGGGAGCACTGTGTGTATGTGTGTGTGTGTGTGTGTGTGTGTGTGAAGTAATATTTAAGAAAAAATGATTAATCTGAGATTTTAAAAAAAGAACTAAAATACGGAACAAAACATATGAGAAGTAGATTTAATCCATGTGAAGATCCTTGCATGTTTGGGACGAAGCTAGCAACCTTAAGTCAAATGTGCATGTGAAATTGTATATAATTCTCAAATTTTCCCAATGCCTTGGGAAAATCTGGGAAAGAAACAGAAAGAACTCAAATACTCAGATGGCGAGAAAGGAAAAACAAGACTCAAAGAAGATATGAAGGGGCTGGCTCTGCGGCACAGTGGGTTAAAGCCCCACCTGCAGTGCCGGCATCCCATATGGGCGCTTTTTGGAGTCCCGGCTACTCTACTTCCAATCCAGCTCTCTGCTATGGCCTGGGAAAGCAGCAGAGGATGGCCCAAGTCCTTGGGCCCCTGTATTCACGTGGGAGACCCAGAGGAAGCTCCTGGCTCCTGGCTTTGGATCAGCTCAGCTCTGGCTGTTGCAGCCATTTGAGGAGTGAACCAGAGTATGGAAGACCTCTGACTCTCTCTGTGTCTCTACCTCTCTCTGTAACTGTGTCTTTCAAATAAATAAAAGTAATCTTTAAAAAAAATCAAGATACTGGAAACATAACTGTAGAAAACTTTTCACTTACAACACAATAAGAATAATAAATTGCCTAGGATTAAATTATAACTGGTTCATTGGATTAGGCTGCTGCTCACAATGCTGGGATCCCAAATCAGAGATGACCTGTGTGATTGAGGCCCTGCTCAATTACCCACATAGGAGACCCAGATGGATTTCCTGGCTCCTGTCTGTGGCCTGACTCAGCTTCTGACCATTGCAGCCATTTGGGGAAAGAACCAGTGAATGGAAGATCTCTTTCTCTGTTTCTTGGCACCATATCTTTCAAGTAATAATATAAATCTAAAAGTAAATAAAGATAAATGGTAACAGGAAATATGCAAGACCTTTAAGGAGAAAAGTATAAACATTTTTGAAAATCATTTAAAAGTTAATAAAATTGTAAGCTAATGTTCATATATGGTGATATTGTCATGAAAATGACATTTCTGCTTATATTGATCTGTAAGTTCCATGCATTTCCAATCAAGTCTAACAGGAATTTTTGGAATTTGATAACTTGATTCTAATTTTTTTTGAAGCTTGAAGAGCCATAACAATTTTGAAGCGTAATGAAGTTTATTTGATAGATATCAGGGCTTTTAATTAAAACAATGGCAAAAACAGGCCACGAGACAATAGAACACAGGAAGGAAGAGCTTGCTCTGTGACAAGTGGTGGCACAAACTAGGGGGAAAGAATAGACTGTTCAATGAACAGGGCTGATATAGTTGCCCATTTGTTTAGAAAAAGATAAAACACAATCCCTGTCTCTCACAGAGAATTGTAAAATGGATTTGTGAAAAGGAGAACAAAAACCTAAAACTTCCAGGAGAAGACATTTTTAGAAGAAAAATCTTTAAAATTTAAAGATTTATCTTTAAATCTTTAAAACTGAAAGCTAGGGAGAAAGAATTTTTTTCGTTTTGTTTTATTTTTAAATATTTATTTATTTATTTATTTGAGAGGTAAAATTACAGAGAAAGGGAGACATAAAGGTCTTCCATGTGCTGGTTCACTCCCCAAGTGGCTGCAGTGGCCGGAGCTAAGCCGATCTGAAGCCAGGAGCCAGGAGCCTCTTCTGGGTCTCCCACGCAGGTGCAGGGGCCCAAGCACTCGGGCCATCCTCCACTGCCTTCCCAGGCCACAGCAGAGAGCTGAATGGAAAGAGGAGTAGCCGGGACTCAAACTGGCACCAGCACTGCAGATGGTGGCTTTACCTGCTATGTCACAGGGCCAGGCCCAGGAGGATGAATTTTTAAATTAAATTTGGAAATCAAATCTGTTAAAAATGTTAATTTGGCTACATCCATATAAAGAGAATTCAGTATAATAAATTATGCTATATACAAATGTTTCAGACAAGGAGAAGATATTTGCCATATATATAATCCACAAAGAATTAGCATTCTCTGTAATAAATTCTCTACAATAAGACCATGGTAGTAAGAAAAAGACTAATAACACAATTAAAAAAAAAACTGTCAGGATTGGTTTTGGCACACAGCAGGTTAAGCCACAGCTTGTGACTGCGGTATCTCCTATCAGAGCACCAGTTAGAGTTCTGGCTGCTTCACTTCCAATCCAGCTTCCTGCTAATGTACAGAAACAGGGTCTTATTTATGAGAGTACTTCAGAAATTTCATTTTCCATAAACTTTGAAAACGTTTTATTTTATTTGAAAGTCAGAGATGGGGCTGGCACTGTGGCATAGACTATTAAGCCTCCACCTGCAGTATTGGCATTCCATTTCAGCACCCGATAGAGTCCCAGATGCTCCACTTTCAATCTGGCTCCCTGCTAATGTGCCTGGAAAAGCAGTGGAAGATGGCCCAAGTGCTTACGCCCCTGCACTCACATGGGAGACCCAGAAGAGGCTCCTGGCTTTGGCCTGGCCCAGCCATTGAGGCCATTTGGGGAGTGAACCAGCAGATGGAAGACATGTCTCTCTGCTTCTCTCTCTGTATTTCTACCTTTCAAATAAATAAATCTTAAAAAA